CGCTCTACCACTGAGCCACCTTCCCAGCCCCTGGAAAGTTTAATTTTTATTTACTTTTTTGTGAAAATACTGTACAAAGGGCTTACAATTAGATGGGCAAGATAATGAGTACATTGCTTATCAAGCATTGTAGCCTCCTCCTTTGTTTCCCCTTCCCATCCCTTCCCAGCCTCCCCTGCCCTCCCACCTAATCCCCCCCCCCCACCAAAGTTGTAAAGTTCATTTTTGGAAAGTTTATTTTTAATAAATAGCATTAAAGTGTTGATAAATTCTTGTTGTAAGCACCCTTTTGAAGGTTTTCTTTTCCCTCTCTGAGAAACTATGCTGACATCTTTGGGGCTAGGGAGCCCTAACTTCCTGGCAGTTGTTAGACCCTTTTCTAGCACCTTAGCTGACCTCAGGAAAGGCCACCAACCAGATAACCTTCCAATAACTTCAGCTCCAGGAGGTACAGACCCAGCAAGCAGCTGGTCCCAGTCTCAGCTCAACAGAAGACCAACTGCCACAACTGCCATTTCTACATTATGCAAGTGGTTCAACCGAAGACTTGTTATTGGTTCACACTCAGCCCTTCATTAGCATAATGCTGTACCTTGATGGGTGTAGACACCTGCTCTCTCCCCTTCATTAGCATAATGCTGTACCTTGATGGGTGTAGACACCTGCTCTCTCCCCTGCTGTTGTGTATGTACAAGCTGCTCTTCTCCCTGTGAGCAGTTGGAGATAAACTCCTTGCTGCCCGGCTCTCACCTGAGTGCTACATCAGATCCCAATCAAGGCTTTTTTTCTAAAGCATTCGTGCCCACCTTTGCTGAGCCAGTAACATGAAGAAAAAGCAGTCGCAGTGGCAGGGGAAAACTATCTGCCCTAGCAGCACTAAGTGTGGCAAGCTGGGCTGCTGAGCAAAACCGGCCAGAGCAGCAGGCGGCAGGTGAGAAAGCAACCGCATGGCAGCTGGCTGGGGTCACAGGCCTCCATCTCCTGCCTCTCAGGGCCCTGGGCTGAAACTCCATGCTGCTGCCCTCTCTGCCAAGACACCAGGTCTGACTGCCGTTGCCCAGTGTGATCTGCAAGTATTTCCAAGGGCCTAGGAAAGCTGAAAGAATGTGATTGTCTGGGTAGGGCAGGAACCCCGGCCCACGGCTGGTTTACAGTTCCTAAAGCCCTTAGCAGCAGGAACGTGGTAGGCATTTTCTATCAATGGGTTAGGCAGGAGAGCTTAGTGTGTATGCTGCCTCCACAAGCAAGCACCAGTGAACCAGAAGCCCTTACCTCTCAACCTACCTGGCAGGAATTCCACATCCTCATGACAGGCGGGATGAAGCCAGAGCTGAGCTATGTCCCCTGTAGAGGAACTGGGGGACAGGCCCTTCCTGCATTTAGACTACTTTTGGGAGACTTCTAGGTGCCCATAAGCTCTGTCTCCACATGTTCCAGGAAGCCCACTTCATTCTGCCTGGCTAACAGCAGGCATTGTTAAATACACTACCTATCTGTGGTTACAATTTAGTTGAAACAGGAATCCCATGAGTGGCTTTCAGAGTAGGGGCTAGAGAACACTAAATGCAAATTCTTCATGTTACCACTTACAAATACTCAAATTATACCAAAGTAGAGAAGGAACAGGTATTAGGGACCCAGAGTGGGAAAGAATGGTCCCATGATGTGGCTCATCACGAGAGACCCCCGAGGAGGGCACTGCGAGGGTGTGTGAGGGCAGGCAGCCGGGCCCGCGGGGCAAGGCTCTCCTGAAGAGGAGGAGCGGGAGCCTCAGCGGCCCCTGGTGTCCAGCACGCAGCCCTGAGGGGGAGTTGGGAGGTCTGGCTTATGACCACACTTCAGCCTTTACCCTGGGGAGCTTAACCCACCCCTGTCCCGCACTCATAATTTAAGGAGTAGTGGTTTGGAAGAACGAGAATGAACAAGACCCCACGGGGGCTGGTGCCAGGTTTTCTTCCTTCTTAAGGACACATTGACTATTATTCTAAGCAAGGTCTGCCACTTCCTGTTCCTCTTTACAGTGTTTCCTGGAAAGTGTGTGTGTGTGAATCAACGGTAGGTGAACCCTCCCTCTAAAGTTGTTCTGGAGCTCTGCAGTAAGAAGGTGGTACTTTGTAAAGATTCGCCTGAGGTTGATTCTTGCTTTGGATCTGCTTTTGGAGAAATAATACACACCAGACTATGCTCTCCACCTCCTCCTTGGTGCAGCTGGCTTGGGCGTCCTTGGGGCCCAGTGAAGCCAAATGTCTTACTGCCTCCCGAGAGCCTTGCCACTCCGTAGACTCATGAAGTTTTCTGTCTTCAGGCTCAGAGCTAAAATATGTGAAGAAGATGCGGCAAGCAAGTATTTTTTGCTCTTGGTTTTGGCACATTTTAGTTGTCAGAATGAGACTGCCCTAGGAGTCCACTGAAGAGTTATCATTTCTAGGCAACATCTAAGCATAGCTTGCATTGGTTTCTTTTCTTTGATTGCAAAGACTAAGACCACGATGCCAGGGAATGAAGCTATATGTACCTTGTCTTCAGCCAAATAAAATCCACAGACACTCTAGCTTCACAATGAAGCTTGAAACCAGTCAAGCACTTTATTTTTTAAAAAAGAAAATGTCTAACACTAAAGTATATCATCTCTACATGTTACAGTCAGTTGTCTGCCCCTCTCTTCCTCCTCCTATTACACACTGTGTTTTCTCTGTTGAAAGGAATCAAAACCCACTACCAGAAGCTGTCAGTTTACTGAGAGGGAAAGAGATGGGCTGAAATACCGGGACCCTATCCCTATCCTACGGATAGACAGGAGGGAGACAATGCCCTCCAGAGACTACTGTTCCTGGAGGGGTATAAAAAAAGGTCCCAGGCATCAGCTCAGTCCCTGGAGCAGAAAATGTGGCTTAGGGCTAAGGTGACTGTAGTTTTTCATGACTCCTATAAGGAAAAGAGGCATCAACAGGCATACAATTGGATAAAATATGTACACCTTTGTTGCATTAGAACTGCTTATTGCTGTAGTAAGCCTGGTAGGGGCACCTTAAAAAAAGCATGTAGAAGATGTGAAAGTAAAGGCCACTGGCAATGGCACTTGGATCTTTTCAAGAAGTTGAGCCCTCATCTCTCACTGGGGCTAAGGAGCTGTACTCTGGAATAGATGGAATGTTAAAATGTGATGAAGGGCCGGGCGCTGGTGGCTCACACCTGTCATCCTAGCTACCCAGGAGGCTGAGATCTGAGGATCATGGTTCAAACCTAACCTGGGCAAGAAAGTCCATGAGACTCTTATTCCAATTAACTACCTAAAAACCAGAAGTGGAGCTGTGGCTCAAAGCAGAAGAGTGCTAGCCTTGAGCACAAAAGCTCAGGGACCGTACTAGGCCCTGAGTTCAAGTCCCAGGACTGATAAACAAAACAAAACATAGGATGATGGGCTTGGTACCTTAGCAAGATAGCACCAGAAACCGGACAGCACCCCTAGGAGCTGGGCAGTACAGTCTTTGGTCTATGGTAGGTGAGGAGCTTGGAGCCCCCATCTACACTCCAGCTCTGTTTGGGATTAGTCTAGCTATTAGAACCTTACCCGAGTTAGGATGGATTCCTCCTGGCCAAGACAGGGTGCCTGCACCCTTAGGCCTCAATGTAAGCTGATTTCCCACCCATTCAAGTTCAAAGAATGAGTTCGGACAACCAGAAAGGAAGACGAGACTGCCACACACAGCTCAGGGTATTAGTATCACTGCCACAGTCCAAAGAGAAGGGCAAGCCTGTGAGTGGGTAGCCTAACCAGCACTTTCCGTTCCTTACCTTCAGTGCTAGGGATAGAAGCAAGGGCCTAGCACTTGCTGGGCAAGAGCTTTACAACTGAGTTACCCTAGCTAGCCTTGCTCCTCATGATGCCAAGTTACCAAAAACTGGAGTCAGGAACAGTTTATATTTCTTATTACAGTTAGAGCCAGGCACTTGGCAATAAGGACTAGTCTCTACTCTTCAGCCCAAAGTCTGTCCTGGGTCATCCAGATTCAGCACTTATGCTTTGATGTGGCAGTATGTCCTCCCACTTTCTACCAATACCGAAATTCCCAGTAGGGTCAGAGACGGTATAAGGCCAGGAAGTTTTCCCTAGACATCAAGTCTGCGGGTCAGTCTTGTGTCAGAAGCTTAAAAGGAGTATCAAGAGCCTGGTATGGTCTCCAACAAGCTCCTAAGTGGGGAAGTAAATGTGTTCTAGCTGGAGCTCAGCTCCTTAAATCTCAGCCTAGAACAATAACCTAAACTCACTGTTGGCAGAGTGATTCTGAGCAAAGATTTACGCAAAGCCCAAATGGTGGGTCTCACATTCTGATATTCCAAAAACGCTGTGGCTCTACAAGCTGTGCATTTGTTCTTGGGTAAGAGACAGTGTCATGATAAGGTGGCGAGAGGGAGAGAGAATCGCACTTCGCCCATTCTTTGGACCACGGCTTGGCTTGCACCCTGCTGAAATGTTTGCCCAAAGGGTGGACAGGGTCAGCTGAGTCAGCTGACCCCCTTGGGGGCTCCACACACTTCTCTGCCGATGGCACTAGGAAAGCTCATGGATATGAGGGAGGGAGAAAAATATTCTGGATTTTTTCTTTTGTCAGTCATGGGGCTTGAACTCTGGGCCTGGGCACTGTCCTTGCGCTCTTCAGCTCAAGGCGAGCGCTCTACTGCTTGAGCCACAGCGCCACTTCCTTATATTCTGGATTTTCGTCTTAGCATGGCCACTGTTTGGGAAAAAGAGACTCAGCTACTCCGCACTAGGCCACACTTAAGGGCCAATACTAGTCACCCCCAGGGCTGCTGTGAAGACTAGCTGAGGGCAGTAGTGTGTTCAAGGCTTGTAACTTGTCGGGTATTTGGTATGGACAGCGCTTCTAGAGCCGTGGATATTTTCCAAGTTCAGGAACCCGTCAGGAATTATGCCTATCATTGCTCCAAGACCAGCAACAACCAGTGTGGATGTTGTAACTTAAATAAACCTCTAAAGTAGATGGAGCCAGACACAGGAACTCTCCCCAACAACAGGAAGGAATGTTTCTCCTGTACCTATCCTTCATGCCAGAATAACAGAAGAAAAGGCATTCCTTCAGCTTCAGGAAAGCATTGTGGCCACAGGAAGCTAAGCTCACGCATCCTCCCTGTCTTCACCTTTGGGAGAAGAAGGAAATGGACAGGACCTCTCCTTTAGTAGAGCCAGCAGAAACACTTAAATTCTTTGCCACACCACTGCCTACCCAGTGCCTAGCACATGGTCAGCACTCACAAAATATCTGAAAAGGTCATGGAAAGCCAAAAGCAAACCAAAAACAGTTTTGTCTTTTGAAAGGTAGTTAAACCCTGCAAAACAGCTTTACAGACACTGCTTAAACCCTAGTAGGGTAAAAAGTCAGGACAACATCCCGAGTCAGGGGTGTGGGAGCGACCCTCCAACGATCACCATCGCCCACACTCCTGCAGTGTCCCAAGACAACCTAGGTGTGGGCCTGCAGGCTCAGCAAAGGGGGAAGCGACACATGTTACTTTGGCCAGAGGAAATCTCTTTGCTTGAAGAAGCTTCCAGAGCCTGTGGCAGGGACCAGGGGAGGAACAAAACCTTTGGCACTCTATGTAGATGCAGGCATCCATGGAAAGCTGGCTTTGTGGTTTTAAAAGCACTGAAGTGGACCTCTCTGGGGGCAGGGCAGCAAGGCAGAGCTGCTCCTCTTCTGTATAGTAGTAACCAGGTTATAGGCTGAAGCAGTCTGAGCTGAGTGTTAGACCTGGCTCCTGGCTGACTCAGGGGCCTACTCAGGCCTCAGCCCTATCCAGTAAAACATGTGAAGTGGTTGGCTTAGGTTCCACCACCCTAACAGGGCAGAGTGGAGCAGGAAGCCCGTCGACTGAGAGCCACCGTTGCTCAGCCAGCAGGAGACCCCTGCTCCCTTTGCCTGACATGCATCATCCCCCAGAGGACACCAGCAAAGAGGCAGAGCACAGAGCTCTGTTCCTCCAGAACCAGGGCCATCCCCTGCCCTGGAGAAGCAACTGGGAGTCCAGGAATGGCTGGGAGGGAGGAGGAGCATCACCACTCACATCACAAAGAAGCTACTTGGCCACTTGCTCCTCAGGCCTAGTCTCCTCTCTGACTGATTGGCCTCTTACAGAGGGAAGACCACAGACTCTGGGGTTAGGCAGGCCTCAACCCTCGCTCCTCCTCTCCTCTCCATTGCCTTCTTGGGCACACTGAACCTGGGTTTCCTAACCAGAAAATGGCTATAATATTACAAGGAAGTTGCGAGGGTAAACCATGAATGCAAAGTGCCAAGAACAGTTTTGGCACCAACCAGCTACTCAGCAAAGGGGTGCTCGTGAGTCATGTGTCTTTCAAATGCTCCCTTCTTCAAACAAGCGTGGAGACTCTTATTCCAGGTAGACAAAAATGAGAAGCCCCAAAGAGGGTGCAGGGATTCTCATTTTAAAAGCCCTGGTTGGAGCAGAGTCTGCAGCAGGAGAGTGAAGCGTGCTCCGGGGTGGGTCACATTGTGAGGATGAGTCACTGTCCCAAGGCAGAAGACGGGAGCTGAAATGCTCTCCAGAGCCACTTCAAGGGTCGCTGCATGTGGTGAGGCCTCAGACGCCCAAGGCCCCCAGGCTTGAAGAAGACACTTTCTGAAGATTGGCAATGGAGTCAGCTTCAATAGACAGTTCTCCCTCTGTCAGGAATTTTGGAAACTGAATACGGCCACAGGCCTGGAGACACAGGGAGCTGCTGGAGCCAGTCACCACGGACTGGGGGCGTTACCCCTTACCATTTGCCTCTAGGCAACAAGAGACTTCCCAGCGTTTCTTGAGTTTCCAGGTCTGGGCCCTGGAGTCTGAGAAGTCTCTGTCCCACTGCCGGGGGCAGTGCCACGGAGTAGAGTAAGCATTTTCTTGTTAAGGCAAGGAGCCAGTGTGGATTTCCATCTAGTCAGCTGTGGCCTATGAGTCCCGGGGATTGCCGGGACAGTGGGGGTCAGACTCGGAGCCCCTGCCATCCCAGCCACTCACTCCGTCACGGGAGGGAAGAAGCCAGCCCTACTGGCCACCCGTCCTTTGAAATTCATGGAGCCTAGTAAAGTATGGTTGTGAAGTATGCGGGGTAGGCCCGCAGGGACAGTGCGGCCACGCAGGGAGGGACAGGCTAGGGCTTCTTCCTGAGGTAGTTGGAAGGAATCCAGCCTTCCCAGGAAGGGGCCCCACTGACAACATGGCAAAACCACCAGCCGCTGCTGTTCTTCTCCCGGACTTCAAACACCGTCCCTTCCTGGAAGCTGCTGGTATCTCCATCTCCTTCAAAGTTGGCCACAGCCACATATAAAGTGTCTTTCAAGCCCTCGGTTTTGGGGAAGGAGGCTGCGGGTCCTCCCTTCCTGTTTTCCCCCATCTTGCTGGCTGTACGTGGTCCTGGGCCACCTTTGCCTCGTATGTCATCTTGGCTCACAGAATAGTTAGAGAGAAAAGGTTTGGCTTTGGGCGGAACCAAGAGGGGGCGGCCTGGAGTCGGAGCCGCCCAGTTTTCATGGCCTTCGTGCTGCGGTCTGACCTCAGGGGAGGCCCTGGAGGATGCCGATGCTGTGCTCTTGGGGGGAGGTGGCCTCCTGGGTGGGACCGCAGGTCTTTGCTGGGTAGCTTCTTGGAGAGGCATGGGTACGTTCTTGGGCCCAGGATCTGCACTCTTGGTTGGCCTTGGTGGGGCTCTGCAGGACATCTCTTTGGGGCTGAGCCCCTCCTGTCTGCCAGGCCGGTCCTGGGCATGGGCAGGTCCCTCCCCGGGGAGGAAGCTTTGGCTCAGGGCTGTGTCTTGGCCCCCCGCAGCCTGGTGGTTCTCCCCATCCTTCTCTGGGGACTTGGCAGGCCTGAGCTTCCTCCGGAGGTTGCAGATATCCACGTGGTCTTCACCCTGAGCTGGCTCTGTCCTAGGGGAAGGAGATGGTTTGGGCCTGACCTGAGGTCTGGACTTCAGGAATGGGTTTTGGGGGGTGGCTCCTGGCTTTTCCTCGGGCACCTCAGCCTTGGCTTTGGAGATGGGCCGGAGGTTGGGCTTCTTTACCTCCTTGGCCAAAACCTTGTGGCCGCACTCGAGCCCCAAGTCATTTTTCAGCTGGAACAACTTGCTTTTATCAGGTTTGGGCTCTGGCTTCCGGCTGTCCCGGGCTGGAGGGCTGTGCTTGGCTGGAGTCATGGGCAAAACTGAGCCGGGAGGCTTGGGTGAGGAAGCCCAGTGCTGCTCGACCCTCAGCCGCTCCCTCTCCAGCAGCGCTCCTTCTGACTTGATGATAGACTCCTTTCGAGGAGGGAGGCTAGGCTTTTCCTCCAGGTCCGGGTCTGAGATTTCCTCATAGCCTGCAGAGGCAGACATGTCTGAGGATGCCTTTCTCGGGGCCTCCTTCCCTCCCTTCCAGTCTCTGGACCACATCATACCGGAGTCCACAGTACCATGTGGTGCCTCTGGGAGGGGCCTGGAGGGGCCCAGCACTTCATTGCTCGCGCTATGCTCCATCCCTGCTGCATCCCCGAGCCGAAGCTGGGTCATCTCATGGGGCAGGGGCGCCAAAAAGTTGGGTCTGGAGGCATTGCTGGTCTTTTTGTACTTGTCAATGAAAGTTGCCGGCGCCCACCCTTCCTTATCTTCCATCTGAATGTACCACCAGCCACTCAAGCTCTTCTCAATTACCTGGGAGGGGGCCAAAGGAAGCCACAAGCCAGGGATTACAGTGTACATGCAAAGGAACGGGAAGCAAAGGAGTGAGGAATAAAAAAAGCAGAAAAAAGAGGAGAAAGCAGATGGGGGAGATACAGAAGACACAAAGTCAGTCACAAAGGACTACATACTATACACTTCTTGAAATAACTAAACTAGGCGAGTGTACAGCCGTGGAAAGGCCAGGGGAGACGTGGAAAAACAGGGAGTAACTGTTATTGGGTTAGGGATTTCTTTCTGTCCTGGAATTAGATAGTGATGATGGATGTACAATTCCTTTTTAAATAGGTCTGAGACCTGGACTTGAACTAGGTCATTGATGCTTTCACTCATTGGCAGGAGTTCTACCAACTGAGCTACACCTCCAACCTCAATGGGCATGCAGCTCTGTGAACATACAAAGCTCCAAATTTCACGTTTCTAACTGGTGTGTGAATTATAGCTCAAGAAAGCCACTAACTTCTTCCTATTTTTCAGAAGCAGAGGAGGTGGGAAAACAGTGTAAGGGATGATATTTAGAATCAAGAGTGAAAGCAGGAGCGCCGGTGGCTCACACCTGTAATCCCAGGATGTAACCCCTGTAACTACTCAGGATGCTGAGACCTAAGAACCACAGTTCAAAGCCAGCCCAGGCAAGAAAGCCCACGGCACTCTTATCTTCCATAGACTATTCAGAGAAAGCCGAGAGTGGCGCTGTGGCTCAAGTGGTAGAGTGCTAGCCTTGAGCAAAATAATCTCAGGGACAGTGCCTAGCCTCTGAGTTCAACACACACACACAGAATGAAAGCAGGCAAGGGATAGCAGGTGTACTCACCTCGACCTTCAGGCCAGCCTGGAAGCTAATGCCATCTGGGATGGTGGTCTGGAACTCAGCAATGGTGTAGTACTCTTCTTCCACCTGGGGTGGGATGGGGGGCTTCGGCAGATTGAGACCTCGAGGCTGGTAGGGTTATACAGAGGGCTAACTCCAGGCTAACCATGTAACTGCAACACTGAGTCAGGACGGGACTGAGGGACAAGGCTACTGCTGGCCCTGGTGACCCGCTGCTGTCCCCCAGATGAAATCTAACTGGCCCTTCAACTTTAAAGCAGGGAGAAGAAACATGGGGCTTTTAGCTGCATCATGAAAATTTGGGACCAGACAATAGTCTCTTAATTTAAGAGGACTTTAAGAATAGTCTGAATTTAAGAAGAACACAAATTTGCAAATCAATCTGGACTGAACAAACTGATGATGGATGTGATCTTGGGCAAATCCCTGCCTGTGTGTCCTGTGCACTGAGCATAATGCAGTGCTGATCTGGTAGGCCTGTCGCCAAGCATCAGCTGAGAACACAGGGATGCACCTGATGTACAGTACGGCACCAACAGGTGCTCAATCAATGGCAAACGTAAAAGCGTGGAAGCCCTTTTCTCCAAGGACAGGGTGAGCAGCCCTCATGCAAATCTGGGGCCAAGAGTTAAACACAACATTTATTCATATTTCTTTTTTCTTTTTTGTCGGTCATGGAGCCTGAACTCTCTCTAAGCCTGGGCGCTGTCCCTCAGCTCTTCAGCTCAAGGCCAGCGCTCTACCACTTGAGCCACAGTGCCACTTCTGGCTTTTCTGCTTATGTGGTGCTGAGGAATGGAACCCAGGGCCTCATGCATGCAAGGCAAGTGCTCTACCACTGAGCCAACTTCCCAGCCACTCATTCATATTTCATGCATAAATGCATGTATGTATGTAGTGTGATATCTTTAGACAACATTTTTAATGTATCTGTATTATGACTGCGTATCATGTGAGGTCAAGTGTGGGACTTTCCACTTGTGGCATCATATCAGTGCTCAAGAAGTTTCAGATTTGTGGGGCAGGGAGAAGTTGGAGAAAAAAGGGAAGGAGTAACAAGTTTGACAGGAAATGTACTTATCACTTATGTAACTATAACCCCTCTGTACATTACCTTGACAATAAAAAAAAATAAAGAAGTTTCAGGTGTTGGACTTTTAGATTAGGGATGTCCAGCCTGGATTAGTTAGAAAGGCAACAAGAGAGTTAAAAGATGGAGGGTAGGGCTGGGAAGGTGGCTCAGTGGTAGAACGCTTGCCTTGCATGCCTGAGGCCCTGGGTTCGATTCCTCAG